TTTCTTCTTTTTCTTTTTCTTCTCTGAATTTTTATTCACAGAATCTATTTCTTATTTTCAGCAGAACTAATATCCAAAGTAGTATCTTCTTCCAACTTGATTTCAATTATTTCTTTTTCTTGTTCAGGTGATTCTTGTATCGTCTCTAGATTGGATGTTTTACGTACCTTCCTTTTTTTAATCTTCGTACTTTTGTGTTCATTCAATTCATTATCATTAATTTCTGCAGACGATATTTCCACATCTAATGCCTCATTAACAAATCCATTTGACAAAGTTGTAACATCCTCATATTGTCGCTTCTTTCTTGTGTTTTTTATTTTCTACTTCAAATTTATCTAATGTAGCTTTTCCTTTCTTTCTCTTTGTGACATCTATGCTGTATTCTACATGATCATTAAATGTTACACGTTTTTTATTACTTTTTTCATCTGTCAGATCCAGGCCACAATTTTCTAAACCGAATTGTGCTCTTGATACTTCAAATTCTTTACCATTACAATCTTCATCAGGTTTTGTGTCTAAATTCAGAGCTGGATTCATGAATCCCTCTTTGGAATTACTATCTATAATTTCAATTTTTAATTTCTTTCTGGCATTAACTTGATTCGCTTCATCAACATATAAATCAATACTTTCTGAGACAAATTCCTTCTTCCTTTTTTCTTTATTTTTTTGGAAGAATCCTCAGTATTAAGCATAGTTTCTGGAAAAACTATTTAATCTTAAGCAAGGATTATCAAAACATAATTGCTTTTTTTCATTTTTGTTCTTTGGTATTCCATTGGACAGAATATTTTCAGTTTTTGATGTAAATCCAAAACCAACATACTGCTCAGTCTCACTTTCAGAATTAGCTCTTTGGTTATCAATGATATTACTTGCTAAGTCTTTTTGTAGCTTTTGTTTAAAATAATCAGCCATGCTGCCACTGTTTATGGTGAAAACACCACCCCATTTATCTTTAGTATCAATAGCTTCATTTTCACAAATATTATTATCTTCTTCTACTTCAGTTTTACTGGTCAATTCCTTTTTACCAAAAATGTTTGCCAGATCTTTTGTGCTATATTTACTTACATCTTTCCCACGTGTAAACTTTTGATAACTGGAAATAAGTCCCACATATTCATATATTATAGCAGAAATACAATACTTATAATAATACAATTTTTTATACAATTTGTGATACTGTTGGATAAAGAAGACAATCATTAGTAGCGACATCCTATGTATATATATCTATATATACTTACTGCAATCGAGCACAACTTTGTTTAGACTTTAGCTCCAATGATTGCCTAGTTAGATCTTCATTACTTTCCAATTTTTCAATAGTTTCTCCTGGTTATGATGATTTGCAAGTTGTTGTAAGAATTCATTAAATTTGTCCTGATGTTCATGTATATCTTGCATATACAAATTATTATATCCTATACCTTTAAGAAAGAAAACTAATTTTGACCAAGTATTATATTACTATACGTCAGTTATTGTTATATACATGCATACGCGCATGCGCATACATATACAGACACATATATATAGTTGCTAGTACATCCTATAATATTGTTATAAAAAATAGGAATTGTCTTTATTACCAGCTCTTTCACTTTCAGGATTCTCTTGTTTACCCTTACATGTTCTGTAATACCTTGCTCGTTAATACCCAATCCTTTTCCACTGGTCCAGCCCATTTTCTCCAACATTTTCTGACCAATTTTATCATTGTCTATAGCCAACAATAATATATCATGAAGAATATCATGAAGAATAATATATCATGAAGAAAATATCAACAATTCTTGATGTATATTTAAATAATTTAAATGTAAGGTTAAAATCATTACTTTTTCATAAAAAAATTATAATTTATAATTATATATAATTTTACAAATGTGAATGAAATAGTTTTGACTTCTATATTTTTCAAAAAATTTTACACATTTTGAAATATTTACCTTTACTCCATCGCTTTCCTTGTGGGTCGATAGACCATTTCTTTTTTCGCCGGGATTCCGCAAGCATGGACATGTTATTTATTATACTTTAATCGCGTCTTTATCGTAAATTATTGTAGATAATAATCAAACACGATTAAAATTAAATATTTGCATATTAATATTCGACACTATAAGTTAACTTTACTTGCATAGTTTTTCACAAATGTGCACAAAATACTCGCGAGAAAAACTAGGAGAAAAGAAACTATGAAAGACACTATCCATGCTTATTACGAGGTATGTTTGATATTCCGGCCACGATATTCCTAAGAGGGCGCTAATGCACAGCGAAATTTAAAAAATAACCGACTGTGGTTGGTCAATTTAGTTACAACTTATGACTAATAGCAGAGAGAAGCCTGAGAGCGGCCACGATCAACGATAAGTCAGCTAAACCATTCCTTTTAAATGAAAAAAAATAAATACAACGAAACAGGAGGTTAAGAGGATTTTCAAACAACATATCACGAATTAATCTTTTTCTTTTTCCTTAAAATATATGTATTTTACATAACATAGTTTTATTTTAAGAAAGATTCAAAAGATACTGAACATACTAGCGTATCTTTTACTGTACCAAGATTGATAAGATCACCAGTTAATGACATTGTATCTAGTTTTGCAGCTAAAACATGCTGAAAAATAATAATGCCTGGTTATTAAGAATTGTGATAATATTGTATCTTATAAGTAAATAATAATCATTAAGATACACAATTTACTTGAAGGCAAGTAGTTTGTACTCCAGCGGAGACATCCAAATAGTTTTCACCCAGCCGTAATCTCATCTTGCCAGACTTCAAAAGCTCAAGTTTACCTATGAGACCACTGTTTAAATCCTTTATAGTACAATACTCAGTTTTCTCTTTATTATTTGTGTTAGTAGTTAGTCTCGAGTCATTGGATCGTTTTGGTTTCGGATCCTCTTTGTCATCACTAGATTTTAGGCCTGGCAAGCAAACTGGAAACTGTAATCAATCATTAAATAAAGTTATATCAGTATTTGCATCTGTTCATTTATGAAATGAAGTTATATCAACATCTATAATGTGATATAAAGTATATATACGCACCTTTATCAACACATAAGAATTGGATTTATTCTCAATTATTTCAGGAATTTTTTCATTTGCATCTTTCTTCTCCTCTTTTAACATCTCCATCTTTACTTTCTGCTCTTTTTTCACACTTACCACTACTGAAGGAGACAAATGAAATATATAAATATAATAAAATTATCACAGATAATACCTTATATTTAAAATATATAAAAATAATAAAATATATAAAAGCCAAATAAAAACCAAATTGTAAGTCTAATTTGCATATATTTTACAATATAAATTGCATATATTTACAATATTACAACATAAAATTTGGCATTGAACTTTACACTTACCTTCACCATTTTCTGAAATAATTGGTTTCTTGTCAACATCGTTTTCATCAGTACGTGCACTAACTTCTGTCTTAATCTCCTTTTTATATAATTTTTTAGTATCTAAAAATAAAATCATAAGATTAATATTGGCATAGATAAAATATATTAACAAATTGAAAAATTTTTAAAATTACCATCTTTACCCAAAGGCAACATTATATAATCAATATCCACATTAACATCATTATCAGCAGAGTCATCCCCTAACAGGTTTTTTAATTTTTCTTCTTCTTCTAATTTATTAATAACTTTATTTAAATTCATCTTTGGTTTGTCCATATATTTTCTGGTACTTGCACTACTATCTCTTGAGCTACCAGATCTTCTACTGACTATCGGTGCATTTAATCCTTCAGACCATACACCCACAGACTGAAAATAAAAAAAAGAAAGAAAAAAAATTATTTACATCATGAAATAGAAGAAATAATTTAGTGTTAGTAAAGAACTTGAATGTTATAGTTTCTTATTTTTATTTATCTACAGCTTTTGCTTAGCAAATTGAAAATAATAATGCCACAGGTATCAAGCTATTGTAAGAATTCAAATGATAAATAACAAATATCTCAACATATTACTCAATATGTTACAGTTTGAAATTTAGAAATATCTTCATCTACCATGTAATAATATTCCACTTAACTGTTCAACTATTCACAATAATCTAATCTAGTAACATATGTTTAGATAAAGATATTAGCAAAAAGAAAACACAATCTCTTTGTATGATTTTAATTACTAAACTTACTTGGATTAAATGTGCTTTGCCACGTCCTCTATCACCTCTGCCTCGTCCTCTCCCATGATCTTTGAATCCACTATCTCTTAACTTTGTAGATTCAATCTTAGGTGTAACTGGTTCACTGAAATTATATTTGTCATTAGCATATTACAAGAACATTCATTAAGTAAACAATAACTTACTCCTTCTTTCTGTTCCGCTGAACATTAAGGTTTGGTGTGTATTTTTTCTGTTTATCAGTCTTTAAATTTCCACCTAACGTCAGATCTCGAGGTAGACGATAGGATGTTAATCTCTGTGTTGTGGTAGGTAAACCAGGTTCCATTTTGATATTTTTCAATATTATATCTGCAGACACTGATGATGTACATTGGGGAGTACTGTATCGCGCCGCGTCAGGAGAAGTATCTCTCCTCTGGCGATCACCACCTACTGCGCACTTTCTTCGTGTTTCCTTCTCTAGCGGATCCGCAAGACCAGGTTCTATCTTTACTCGTATATTCTTGTGTAGTGTATTGTTTGCGTTGACCGCATCGTCCGAAGAGAAATTCATCTCTAGTACACTTGTTTTTATTTATCAATAAGAAACAACCGACATCGACTGCGGCTTCCGCGAAATTCACTGCCAGTACTGAAAATACATAGTTTGTGTCACATATACTATAGATTTTCAGTGCTGACAGTGAACATATAGTTTGTGTCACGTATACTATAGCTCTTCAGTACTGGCAATGAATATCGGGGCCGTGTTCCGATGATGGGTGCATTCAGTACTACAATCGCTCACTGAGCGCTAAGTGAGTTCTTGCATCTGATTGGTGTATATTTTTAAATCTAAAGGAATATACCAATCAAATGTAAAAGCTCATTGAGCGGTTGTAGTACTGAATGCACCCATTCACTGACAGCACTGAAATTCTATAGTATACGTGACACAAACCATATATTTCCAGTACTGGCAGTGAATTTCAAAACGCAGCCAGGAACGCAATCAAAATATATCTTTTTCATATGTATGTAGCGACTATGTTAACAAAATATTTAAAACAAGTAAAATGGGTATCATGATTAAATTCTTTTTATTTTCTGGATTCTTAATAGCTTCTTTGTTATTCTGAGAATATTAACATGTTTAATACAAACAGAGAGAAGAAGGAGAGAGTGCCATGGGCCGCTTTTAGCCGACCCTAGAGATCCTCAAATAAAGAGTCTGAACCAGTCTGAACACGGGCCTGAAAATGGCCGACTCAGTGTGTTCTTTTTAGCTGCACAATGGTGCAAAAAGTATCAGTTAAGCTCCTTGCACAATGGGCAGGCAACAGGCAATAAGAATAAAAATATACCAATCATAATAGATTATTCTTGTAATAGTCGATCGTGATTGGTCTATTTTTATTCTTATTGCTTGTTATCTGGCATTGTGCAAGGGGCCTTACAACCAGAGAGAAACATGAGAGCGGCTAACACGGTGTTTTCGGCGACACCAACTTTCCGCATTGGGAAAGGACACATCTGCATTCATTTTGAAAGGGGGACTACGATGCTACATCCATTTTCAGGCGGTTTATGTCCGTGCTACAACCATACTGCGTACTTGACAAGCACATTGTTACGCGTTTATAACATGAATTAACATGTATGTATATAATATGTTCATAACATGAATTAACTTGTATTGTTAATGGTTGCGTTCAGAAAACAAAGCGCTCACTGAGCGCTTAGTAACTATTGGTCATTACTGTTAGATCCTTACATTCAGACCAATAACGTTGACGAATTACTCAACCTTGTGTAACCGTTGTGTTTACTGAACGCAGCCATTGGCCGCGTTCAGTAAAACAAAGTGATCAGAAAGCGCTTAGTGATTATTGTCTATGATTGGAGCATTCTTTTAGATTCTTCATAGACCCAGAAGTATTGACCAATCAGGAGCGAGATTCAGTGGAAAATCTAGTAATGTTGTCCAACTGTTGAGTCTGCTGAATGCAGCCATTATCTCCGTTTCTACATAGCACCTCGTCGATGCTATGGGTCTGTTTTTTTCAACTGAACTAGTGCTGCACTGAAATTGCACTAGTTCAGAACTAGCAGAAAGAACGCTTCAGTGTACTCTTTTTGAACTAGTAAAGAAAGTTCAGCTGGAAAGAATAAACCTCAAGCATTCCTTTACTTTTTCTGTAGCGGGAGTGAAGCCGGAGTTGGCAGTTTAAATTGGAGTGAGAAAATTGATTTGCCTTAAGCCAGCGGCACACGATGCTTGTTTTCGTGTATCAGTATTTTCATCCAGCAAGCAATCCAGCACGAAAACAAGCACCGTGTGCCGCTGGCTTTATTGACTGTCAAACAGTATGGCACCTAATTGACATCGATGGTACCTGAGAGCGGCCAATACGACATTTTCTGCGACACCGACTTTCCGCACTGGGAAAGGACGCCATCTGCATCCATTTTGAGAAGGGAACTACGATAGTACATCCACTTTCAGGTCTCGGTGGTAAAATCTGCATATGGTGGAAGTCCATGCTACATCCACTTTCAGGCGGTTTATGTCCGTGCTGCAATGACAGTTGCCATCTCTATGCCAGACTATGCCCGTGTGGTCTAAAAAGAGCGGGGGAGAGGGGGGAGGAGCAGAAAAAATAAAAGTACGTATTAAATGTTAAATCTTCGAATATATATTGCCGTATCAAAGTCTCTTCTATAATAAACAATTTGACATGTATGGAGACGCATGATGTATCGTTGTCCGCGTCCCGTTCACTTCGTCTTGTTTTTTAATTCAGCATCCCGTCCGCTCCGGACATTCGCTCGTGGCACTGACAGTGGCCGTCGGTGAGCATTCGATCCGCTCGGAGGAGCACGTGTTATTCACGTAATTAACGTGACGAGACTCCGATTATAAATATCCCGCAAGTCGACGAAATATTTGAACTTATAAAAAAAGCATCAAAGAAAATCACGTTAATGTTGTCATGGGTAAAATCTCACCCCGGTATATATTTTCTTATTTTCGAAATAAAAAAAGCCAAACGAATGCAATTAAATGTTATTTATCATCATTGAATATTAAATGAAAAGTAGAAGAGTTATTGTCCGCAGCGGATAATCTCCCTGTATAAAATGTCGAACTGAAACATATTAAAAAGTATTGATATTTTGAATACGTCTGAATTCTGCTTTCTGATCCGAAGAAAGGGAAAATAAAAAGTATTAGTTCCCATTAAATTTCACCGCGCTAAATGCGAGATGGCAGTAGTGAATGCTTCGCATTAACAAAGATTCAATTCGTTTCAAATATGCCTTGTATTCAATCGCAATCGATAATTTTTAAATGCGAACTTTCGTATTGAAAAATATTCACTTCTTCTCCTAATCGTTTTCGGATTCAGAGGCATACAAGATTTTCACGTTCTATTCCCCGTCGCATTAAAAAGTATTCACCCGCGATCCAATCTGAGAGCAGAATTCACGACAAAATCTCGTGAATGATTCTCTTTTGATGTTCAGTCATCTGAATAAGAGAATATTCATATGTACAAACGCGACACCGACATCAGCTGCTTTATTTTTATTTTTCAAGCGGACCGCAGAATTACTTAACGATTTAATTATTTGACAATATTCAATTGTCCGTATAAAATATATTCATACCTAAATGCCGATATCGTTAGCTACTTTTCTTTTATTTGCAAAACAGGCTGTAGAATTATTTGGCAATATTGTCCATTCATCACAATCCCTATTGTCTCGAGTAGCGTATAATGCGCGTAGAAATTGCGCCAGCGCACGTCGAGCTTGAGGTATCCTCGAACGCACTACATGGACGACTCTCTACCCCCAGTGGAAGCGGAGATATCGACGGAGAAAGGTTGGAAAACTTTAACCTTCGATATCTCCTAAACGGTTAGAGATACAGGCTTCGGACTAGTACCAAATTAAAGCCCTTTCAAAACCCTACATTTTGGACTACATGGACGACTCTCTACTCCCAGTAGAAGCGGAGATATCAACGGAGAAAGGTTGGATATCGACGAAGAAAGGCTGGAAAACTTTAACCTTCGATATCTCCTAAACGGTTAGAGATACAGGCCTGGTTCTGGCATCAAATTAAAGTCCTTTCAAAACCCTACATTTTCGACTACATGGACGACTCTCTACTCCCAGTAGAAGCGGAGATATCGACGGTGAATGGCTGGAAAACTTTAACCTTCGATATCTCCTAAACGGTTAGAGATACAGGCCTGGCTCTGGTACCAAATTAAAGTCCTTTCAAAACCCTACATTTTGCCGTAAATGGCGACTCTCTACTCCCAGCAGAAGCGGAGATATCAACGGAGAAAGGTTGGAAAACTTTAATCTTCGATATCTCCTAAACGGTTAGAGATACTGGCCTGGCTCTGGTACCAAATTAAAGTCCTTTCAAAACCCTACATTTTGCCGTAAATGGCGACTCTCTGCTCCCAGTAGAAGCGTAGATATCAACGGAGAAAGGTTGGAATACTTTAACCTTCGATCTACTACACTTTGGTCTTAGCTCAGAGAGCCGTGAAGCGATACTTTAGAACTGCTACGTTCGCATTTTATCCTCTCCAAGTCGTTAATTCAACTCCGAGTATGCTAATGCCATCGGGCGCCACGTAGCAGCGAGTTGTAAATACAAGGTACGAGTGTAGTTTAATAAGTCAGTAACTTTTTTAATAAAAGATATTTTTTTCGGCCAATAAGCGTTTTATTTCTCAACGTAGTCTCCTTTTAGCTCGATACATTTAGTCCACCGTTTTTCCAATTTTTTTATTCCTTCCAAATAAGAGGTTTTCTCAAGGCCCTCAAAATAGGCGTTTGTTTCAGTGATGACCTCTTCGTTCGACCCAAATCTGTTACCGCCCAGCCATTTCTTCAGGTTTGGAAACAGGAAATAGTCGCAGGGGGCTAAATCTGGTGAATATGCTGCATGGGGTAGCAGTTCGTAGCATGTTAATTATGCATTTGTAACATGTTAATTCATGTTACAAATGCATAACAATGAGCGAGACCATGCTTGTCAAGTACGCTATTATGGTTGTAGCATGGACATAAACCGCCTGAAAGTGGATGTAGCACGGACAGCCACCAGATGCAGGTTTTACCGTCGAGACCTAAAAGTGGATGTAGCATCGTAGTTCCCCTCTCAAAATGGATGCAGATAGCGCCTATTCCCAGTGCGAAAAATCGGTGTCGCCGAAAACGCCGTGTTGGCCGCTCTTAGCTTCCTCTCTGCTGGTACTATACAACTTAACCTTCTACACTTTACACTTGTAAATCGTTCTTGGCTAAAGACGCAAGATATAATCACCAAAGACGAGAAAAAAAATTTACTGTTGACATTGAAGTGAAGTGAAAAAAATACTGAAAAATAATAAAAATGAAATTGAGTTCTTGCATTTGTGACATTGCGGCTTGCACTCCATCCTTATATTGTACCTGATAACAACCATTTACTTTCGATACGATAAAGTGAGAAAGCATTACGGCAAATTAACTTTCTCACTCTGATTCAAACTGCCAACTTCGGCATCACTCTGTGGGTGGAATGCTCGGTTTAGATATATACGTCATTGCAATTCGGTAATAAAGAATCAGTATACACTTTTGAAATTAGTGCAGTCAAAGTAGTAATAAAAAACACACCTGTTATCAGTGCATTTTAACAGTGTTCTGTACTGCACCGTATTGTATATTTATTTATCAGTCGTCAACAGGCGAGAAAATGCAAATACTACGGCAACTGGACGTGCACCCGAAAGTTCGTGAGGAAGCCGATATTCTCGTGAGGACCTTTAGCGGTGCCATCGGTAAACAGAATCAGAAAATCCTCGTCTAAAGCATTACCTGTCAGTTTCGTCAAATTTTCGCATCAATGTCTGGTCTGACGAAGATCCAGGCTCGATTTCCACGAGGATCGAACTTGGGGAAAGCGAGGATATTTGCGTTCTATTAGATTAAGTGATAATCATTATGATGCGAAATTAAACGACGTCGACAAGTAATTAATCTCCGATTGAGCTTCAGGTTCTCTTGTCAGCGTCCTGTCGAGGCGTTTCGAGTTTAAATTACCATGTTGTGCGTTTTTTTTTCAATATTCGCGTAGATGTTTGATAAGATATATTGTTTATGTTTGCTCCATAGTTTGCTCCATAGAAAAAGATGGAAAATGGTTCAGAATATATATTTTTTCATTGATAAAATTTGCTAACTGATAATTATTCCTTTTATACATATACACATATATACGTACACATGCTAGTGCAAATGATAAAATGATGCTTTTTCAGTTACAATCATTAGTACTATCATCATGGGCATATTATTTATGTCAGAAATAAACTATTATCTCACACCAACTATGAGCGAAGAATTATTTGTAGATACATCTAGGGGCTCTAAATTGAGGATCAATTTGGATGTAATAGTTCCAACTATATCTTGTGATCGTAAGTACAGATTGAGTTTAATATTTATATATATACACAGAAAAAGTAACATAGTTTCTATATTTTTGCAGTTTTATCAGTAGATGCAATGGACACAACTGGTGTGCAATATTTGCAGATAGAACATAATATCTTTCAAAGACGGTTAGACTTAAATGGTAAACCCATAGAGGACCCACAGAGAACAAGTATATATTTCCTAGTAATATAAATAAATTATATAAGAAATAAAGCAAAATGAAAAAAAACTTTCTGATATGAAATTGTTTGGTATAGATATTACAAAAACCAAGGCTGTTGTGAAACCTACAGATGAGGTACTTGAGGACTTTCATATCTTTTCTCATTGAATTTTTATTTGTAAATTAATATTGAAATATTCTTACAGGAAACACAGATCAGCTCTACTACAAAAGTTTGTGGAGATTGTTACGGAGCAGCTACAGAGACGTTAGAGTGAGTCAGACTTTGAATATATATTGAGGATTAATTTCATCAATATATGTATCTATATAAAATTTAACTTTATTGTACAGATGTTGTAATACTTGTGATGATGTACAAATGGCTTATAGACTTAAGAAATGGGCTATGCCAGACTTAGCTAAAATTAAACAATGTCAAAATGATAAATCTGCAGACAAGTACAAGCATGCCTTTACACAAGGCTGCCAAATCTATGGTTATATGGAAGTGAATAGAGTTGGTGGGAGTTTTCACATTGCTCCAGGTGATAGTTATTCCGTCAATCATGTACATGGTAAGTTGACAAGATAAAATTTTTTTCTTATGATATCTATTTATAATATCACAAATTTTCATTAATGTAACAGTGCATGATGTTCAACCTTACAATTCAAATCACTTCAATATGACACATAAAATTAGACATTTGAGCTTCGGACTCAATATCCCAGGAAAAACAAATCCTATGGATGATACCACCACAGTTGCTACGGAAGGTATGTCCTTACAGCTATTTTATTAAGAATATAACTTACTGTTCTTACAAACAGTTATAAACTCAATGCAACCATTACAAAAAATTGTAAATCAAAGATATATGTCAAGATTTACATCATCCATACATACATATATACGCTAGCATCTTATTCCTGTTCCAATAGCCATAAATGTACCAAATGTTCCACCACCTTGAAGCATTAGTTTTCCAATATTGGTATATAATTCTCTTCCTCTCAGTCCATATCTGGTAATCAAATGGTTTGTAATTACACATATTTGCTAGGGTTATTGAATGTGTTTGTAGTGGCAATTGTTATCAATGATACCTAAAGGAAGAAAATCCACCAAAGAGCGCACCAGAGCTTATACCAACAAAGAATCCAATTGCAAAACCTATTTTCATTCTATCAAAGCACGAGGGTCCTTGACTGTAGGCTCCTGTTGATATAGCAGGCATCTTGCGTGGACTTTATCTCATAAATCAAAAGAAATTCTCTAAATTTTACATACAGTCGCTTAGAATAAACGTGTAGAATTTTTTATGGCATACAAATACGCGTGTTTTTGAGGTTGCTTAACCACACATATATACATATACTTACTGTGAAAACGTACCTTACGTAATATTGCAGCGGTTACTATCAACCGGTCGTATTTTTACTTATCAATTTAGGAATTTGATAGCGTTTCTGCACAATCACCAAAAATCACGCGTCGCACTCGTAAGACGTTACCGCAGAGACGCCATGATGGTTTCGCTGTAAAAGAAGACGGTCACGCCGTCTGCTATTTCCGTCGAATGTGACGTCACATGTTGATACGGCGGGTCATTCGTATCGCGTATCAAATATAGATAAAGAAAAAACGATATGAACTTAATTTTTTCATTGAGAAAATTAATTTATTGAATTTAACTTCTTGGCGATTAGCAGAAGCGTGATATTTTTATAAGATATTTAAACTTTACTTTTAAAGAATTTTCTAGAATTAGGATGATTGATTGATGATACCGATTGGAGCCTTACAACTGACACGGTTATTTCATTTTTTAGGTGCTATGATGTTTTATTATTATATCAAGATCGTGCCAACAACGTATGTCCGCGCGGACGGATCGACCCTCTTAACGAATCAATTCTCAGTGACACGACATTCGAAGCGGATGCCGCTGTACATGAGCGACTCCGGCATGCCTGGCATATTTTTCAGCTACGAGCTGAGCCCGCTCATGGTGAAGTACACGGAAAAAGCAAAGTCGTTCGGGCACTTTGCAACAAACACTTGTGCAATCATTGGCGGTGTATTCACCGTGGCGGGACTGATAGATTCGCTACTTTATCACTCAGTGCGCGCGATACAGAAGAAAATAGAGCTGGGAAAGTACAATTAAAACTCGGGACCCAGTCGATGTCGATTACCGTTAATCCCGATCGGCCTCCTTCCTCTTGTCAATGCAGATTCTCAAATGTAACTGGCAAACTTTCAAGAGTCCATCTGACTTCGCGGCGAGAAGAGCTGATTGGGACTGGCGTTGATGCGACGCTCAGAAGAATAATTAAACAGAATTACGAAAAGCATTAATGAGAATGATGTTGTTGCAGAAGCATCGATTTTTCCACCGAAGCCCGATATTTCTATTGTGGAATCTCAATGCGCGTGTAACGCCAAATAGAACTGTCAGTCAATAATTCGATCTTACTTACTTACACTGGGACGTGTTTGTATCGAAATGTTAGATAAGAAAGTAAAAGTAAAATAACGGCTCGCCACACGCAACGGGATGCGAAGAACGCTCTTTTTCTTTTTATGACAATTATACAAAAAGAAATGTAAATTATATATGTATTATGTATATGTATAACGTATGCTAATTATATTCTTCGAGTCTTATTTAAGTAAAGGACAAGGTGATTAGTTTTATGTTTATAATATAAAATATACCAAACAGGAATCCCTTGATATCTTATAATATAACGAAATGCGATAACTGCTAGAAATAATTTGAACAGCAATATTTTTATTAATAGGTTTATTTATATTTAAGCTATAGTAATTAAAATGTTTTTAAAAACTCATTGTATACGTCGATGGATGTCTTCGCGATATTTCTGCAGAAGTCCACATCTGTACCGCTGACCAAGGCTCGTGGTGAAACATACAATGGTTTGGAAGGATCGTAATTGGCCTTTTTCATTTCTACCAAAAACATGTGCCTCTGTTGGAGCCTGTTCTTTCGACAGAGCAAGATATGCGGGGATTGCACAATTAAATCATGTGACAACTTCATTTCGTCATGAACATATTCAAATATCCTAATTAGTCTTTCGCGATCTGAAAACAATTCAAAGCATTAGATTGACAAGATTTATAAGCTTTGGGAATGTGTTAATGGTGTTTTTTACAATAATTGTGTGCATACTTTTTACCCATAATCTGGGCATCCTAAGGAGCAATTGTTTCATTTGTTTGTCATTAAATTCCATATCTTGCTTGATGCTGAATGTATTAGCCATTATGTGCATCATGTGGTATGTTACCACTTTAGGTCCCTTGACTGTAAAGATTCTGACTTCATTACCCTTAAGTTTGAAGTTAGTTTGGAAATAGCTAAGTCTGCCATCAATATCCTTAGTACTATGTAACAACCATCTAGGATTCTTGCAAATGATAGTCTTTATCATATTTATGTTGAATTCATGTGCCCTCAAGTATCTTATTCTGGTATGAAGATCATCAATATCTTCTTTGAAGATGTAAGGGTTCTTAGTGATGAAATGACCTAGATAATCAGCCGGCACACCACAATCATACAGAAATGTGATGTATGGCTTTACATCGCGGTCGAAGTCGAGGCCCAGAATATATTGTACCATTCCTTCTTTGGACTCCAATTTATACAGCTCTACCCCGAGTTTCACCAGCTCTTGGATTATGCGCGATTTGTTCGCGTACTTGGCGAATGAAAAAGTAGATGTGAGATATGGACCGATGTCGGACAAATCTTCGGTATATACGTCCAGAGGTTTCGGTAACGTTATGCTCTTCTCGTCATCATCGTCGAGGAAATTGTCAACGTGTGGAGCAGTGATGTTCGGATGAGCACAAGTAAGTGATGTAGCTTTTGCCACATTATTGTCATTTTGCGTAGAATGCGATGCGTAAACTCCATCATCGAATTTCTTTGTGTCTTCGGACAAGGCAATTGGGTTGGAAAGCTTGACATCCGTCGAATCTTTGTCATTTTCTTTCGACAAGCACTGTTGAAGTCTATTATTTCGCGAAATAAATCGAGCAATTAAGTTTGTTGTGATATTTCCTGCCGGTCGAACCGCTGACAGAAGTTGATAGGATTGTCGAAACAACATATTTAATACTTGGTTTATTTAAATGATTTAAGTAAAAAAATAACACGTATTATTGAATCCTTCGCGTATTTTGGGGAAAACGTGAAGCTTTCTTTTTTATTTAGCAAGATTACAATAACTGGCGCATGATAAGCTGCTTCGTTCATTTAACCTAAATTTTCAGCACTTGATGCAAACGACGTATATTCGAAAGCAAAATAGTATAAATCGATAAATTTCGAAATGCATTTTATATCTACTAGGAGAATATACAATATAAAGTAATTATTATTATTTTATCATTCATAATGTCATTATTGCGTTTTTTATTTGACTCAGTTTTATGGAGGTCGGTAAATTATGGTTTGAGTCTCAGTTAAAAATTAATTTTAGCCAAGATTCGAATCGTAATTTATCAGCCTCATAAAATTTAGGCGAGATCTGAACTACAATTTACCAGCTTTCAATAATTCAAATCAACTTTGCTCAACAAGTTTATTGTTATACCGTTAGATGACGAAAGGTACTTGATTAGCTTTTGTCGAATTAACAAATTGAGATAAATTCCAAAATCTTTATTTTCTCATAAGAAATACACAAAATTTAATAAGCTATAATTTTGATAAAAATAATGATGATGAAACGATTCGAGAAATATTTTGCAGTTTAAAGTCTTTAGTTATAAAGGCATAAAAGTGACATAATATTGCTGTTATCCTTCGTTAATATATGTTTAGTTTAATGAAAGATAGCGAAACTTTTATTTTTAACCTTTTGATAATGTGATAAACTTTACTTTTTTATTAGGAGGAATAAAGAGGTAAAGAGAACGAGAGAGAAAGACTAACATTTGTATTATAATTTATTATTATTTTTATATGTTTTGATCTTCAGTCTGTCCGATGTTGTAGGTTTTACACGTACGCGTGTTTCTTTACTGATTATATGTCTACGTTAGTAATCCAATATACTGGCGGATTTAGGAATTACGCAGCACCTTCGTACATGGCATTGCGTCATATTGATTCTATGAAAACATATAAAAACTGCTATAAATATGTATCTGTACTTAAGAAGATATTTGTAATGTCAACGTGCGCATTGTAAAAAGACGAGGTCAAGGAAGAAGATTGTAGAAAAGCGTTGTATGAATAAATATTTTATTATTTTAAAATGGCTAAACCTTTCCCGCTGATAAAAGTTAATTCGTTTCCTGGCACTTGTTCAAAATTGACTGCAATTAATTAGAGGAAACAAGCGACGTCAACGAAAATATTTGTATACACACACACATATATATATATATATCCTGAGGCTAAAAAGTAAAACAGTTTATCCCACATTCGATGAGCTTATGTACAGACCTTTAAAAAATTACGCATCTAAAGAAACGTGCAATATGTTACGTAACAAAGTTATAAAACTGTATAATAATTCATCAAAGAAATTTTAATATTTCCATTGTAAGAATTGAAGATCGTTTCATGATAATTTCTTCAAACTGTAGGAAAGATTAAAGATATACAAAATACAGCACACATTACACACACAATACAGTGGGGGAGGGGGGGAGAGAGGGACGAAGCTCCGTTCCGCATTACACGCTCTGTCACGTCCTCCACGGGAAAAGGATTAACTCGCGCGTTACATATTAAGGCGGCAAGATAATGCGCTTTGATTCACATCGATATACAACTTAGGAAAGCTTCACACGCGCGATAACAACGCACGCGATACTTTCGTCTATTCTGACGGCTCATTATTTCCTTCGAAAACTGTCAATCATATGCACATTCACGCACGCTTAATCACACGCAGGCACACATATACACATACGCGAGCACACGCATGCAAATACGTCGTGCGCTGAGGTCCTTAATTATGTAATCTTACATCTCGAGTTCTTACAGCAGAGCTGCTACGACGAGAGTGACGCGCGTATACACATACATACACACACACACACACACACACACACACACACACACACACACACACACACACACACACGTACGCACGCATACACCTGGCTATTATTATGCGATATAAGTACGTTAATTACAACATTTAAGAACACTTTAATTCACGATCAGCATCTCAATATATCAAAACGTAAACGGAAATCAACTACCGGAATGTTCCTTATAATTACAAACGGTAAGATAACAGAGCGTTCGCCGTCACGCTAATATCGCGCGTGCGCGCCCGCGCTTTAGTTATTGTTCGTCGTCAGCGTGGCTGATCATCTCTCGTTTAATGCCACGTTTCGCTTTCCGGCATGAAGCCGGCTGAATTTCGCGAGAAATCGTTGTAATTACGGCACTGTATCCGACGACGGAAATACCGCCTTTTAACGGATAGCTTGACTAGGCAGTTCCGACGTGCATTATTACTCTGAGAGATACTTGCCTCGCCGATACTCGGCGCTACCGTACTTTGCCTTCCTTCACGAAATTTCAAACTGATTAAAAGCTTATTTCGCAACGGAGACTGCGGCCAATTACCGAACCGGTGATGGCCAAAGTTACGCACAGCAGGCCCGTAAGAGCGACGGAAGAGCGAAAGGGGGACGTCGCGCCGCGCTTGGAAGTCGAAAATGCGTAATACGCGTCGCGGAGAACGTGCGCCACGCGTTCGTACGCTATATTGCACATGTATTATTATCATCATCATCATGATCATCACGTCCGTCCACCCTCTGATTTCTTCCCGCCTCCTACCCTCTTTGCCCAGTACTCTTTCGCATAGGCGCGATACACACAGCGTTCTGGTGAAATCTATCTAGCTCTTTAAGTCAACGTGTAAATATATAGAGAGTCCGCGCCTTTGTCCTTAAATTAAATTAAATTAAACGTATCCTCCGTGATCTCCTATCGTGTCCCTCCTCTGTCTGCAGCCTGACTAGATCTCAGTTTCTTATTCCTGCTTCGGCCGGTTCAGCCTGCCGTTCGACGCTTCGCCGTTTGATTGGCGATTTTTCGCTTGCTGTCGCAGCTGGGCTCGCTTTAAGCTCGTCATCAATTGACTGGACTGATAAAGCCAACTGGCCTGAAAAATCGTAACGCGTGCGGTGCAGTCGACGATACTCGACGGACATGTTACAACCGAATTGTTCGGTAAAACGTCGCTACATTCCTCTGCACTTACCACCATAATCATACAATTCATTAGAATAGGCACGGAGAAGACGATGGATATAAACAAGCCTTTGGAATCGAAATATTGCTGTCTGGAGAAGACCCTGTGAAAATGATCGAGATCTCAGATTACAAGTGAAACTCTGAAGAAATCCGACGCGCGAAAAGAACGCTTTTTAACAGACATGTTTCGATACGTTGTAACTGATACCTACATCCAATTGGTCGCCGCTACCTCATTGATGCTTTCCGAGAAATAAACGAGAAGCACTGAAACAGAGACCAGAGCTTAGGGCGAAGTCCCGGTAAAAACGGGCGCGGTGCCACGAAAGAAGCGAGAACTTACGAAGCACGAGGAACAGAATTATTTGAAAGTTCGCATGATTCCTGGTCATTAACGCGGTCATCGTGATGGCAATGTGAAAAGTCAACAGCACGGCTAGCCATGGGTCTCTCCAGTCGATCTGTAACAGGAGAACGCGCGGCGCGTACGCCGTAATACAACACGTCTTTCGAAATCGATCTCAATTTGCGGATAAATCGGCTCGGCTGAAGAAACACGAGAGAGCGAAATATTTCATTAACGTCCGTTGTAAAATCCGTCGTCGTATCTTATCTATTAGAGCGGTTTCTTTCATTTTCGCGTGATTGCTCTCGCGAGTAGACTCGATCGAGCAACAAACAAAGTGTGCTTTATCGATACGTGCTTTATCCCCGCCGCCCTCCCCCCGATCCTGGCTGGCGATACGACAACTGGCGTGCGAACGAGCTTCAATCGCAGCACTTGCGAGGAAAGCAACACCCAGCCGGAATTTCCTCTTCCCAGGCAGAAAAACAAAAAATCACGATGACATGAAAATGACGGGAAAGTGACGACGAATTGTGATGGAAAAATGACTTCTTTCCTGTTCTCCGTTTCCGCGTGTTCGCTTCGCGCCGACGATCCAAAAATATTCACGCGCGTCCTGGAGAGCGAGGCGCGTAGCGCCTCTCGTTTCTCGCTCGAGGACCCGCTCGCGGTCGGTCCTCGGTGCGTTTGTCCTTGAGCGAGCATGACGGCAAA